CCCTCAGAAAGAACTCAGAGATGTACACTGTTAGTAATGACCACCCCTCAGAAAGAACTCAGAGATGTACATTGTTAGTAAAGTTAGGTTAAATGTTTTTGCTAATGGCTTTGACTAGAAAATCTTGGGGACAGAAAGCCACAATTTTGATAATAAAGCAAGGACTTTTTTGAGGTCGGGGAACAAGAACAATGGCAGCCCGACTGACTAGTACTCGCTGACGTGCCTTTCTTGCTAAGGCTGGGCTGCCGGTCAAGGTGATGATTAGTGTCTTGAACCCATTTTTGCCCTCAGTTTCCTGATAGAATTTAATAAAAAATTATTAATGAGTAAGTGTGTACCCTGAGTATATAAAGTAGAAATGACTATTGTACTTTACATATATATATACATATATATGTTTAGATTTATGATTCTTTTAAGATTTTTTATAAGATAAATAATAAAATGAAGCCAGGCAGTGTGGCACACGCCTTTTATCCCAGCACTTGGGAGGCAGAGGCAGGTGGATTTCTGAGTTCGAGGCCAGCCTGGTCTACAGAGTGAGTTCCAGGACAGCCAGGGCTATACAGAGAAACCCTGTCTGAAAAAAAAGAAACAAAAAAAACAAAAAACAAAGACAAACAAAACAATAAAATGATTGATCCTTTCTTTGTAATCAGAAATTGCAGCCTGCCAGTAAGAGAAACTGGCTGAGAAGAATATCTTTCTTGCTTACACCATTTACACTTTGTTAATCTATAACGTTGCTTAGGCACGAATGTATGTGGATTCTTGGAAATAATTTGTTTTTCACATGTAATATGTAAAACATTATTCATGTAAGGGTGTTGGGAACATGGTGCTTTTTTTTTTTTTTACAAATACTTATTTTAATCATTCAATTGACAAAAGATAGAATGTAACCACATTGTAATTTTTATTTTGCTTGAAGGATTTTACTGGGATATATAAGCTGTAGGAGGAAAAATAAAGTTGTTGGAGCTCATTGGAGCCTTGCTTCATCCACCAAGTGTGTGCGCGCGCGTGTGCGTGTGTTCTTCCCCTTTTCGCTGGCCCCAGAGAATTAGGTTTTGCTCCATCAGAGAAAAGTCTGCTGAGTGACTAATCACCAGCCTCACACCACTCCTCAGTGACCTGCTGGAGCTGGCTTTGGCACATGTTGCACACTTTGAGTGTTGTGCACATTTGTCAACAGGGACAAAGGCCACTGCCATGAGATCAATGTCATGGGTTTGTAGTAAAGGTCACATGGCAGTCTCTGGACAGGTCAGCTTTGGGTTTGGAGCCTGGGGTGAGCACTGTAAGTGCCTTTCCTACAGGATTGCATTCTCAAAACATCCTAAAGGGAGGTAGGCGCCAAGCTTAAGCTCTAGAAAGATGAGGAAAAGCTGGGCTTGCTGGCACAAGTTCTAATCCCAGCACAGGGAGGCTGAAGCAAGAGGACCTCTGTGAGTGGGGTCAGCTCAATAAACAAACAAACAAACAAATAACTATGACAACCTAAAGATCCTTTTTGGAAAAAAAAAAAAAAAAGATGTTTAATGTGAATTTCAGAGAAGTCCAGAGCTGGTAACTGAGCATGTGTCAACTGTAACTCTTCCTAGGTCTGACTAGACACCAAGACTGAAATTGTGAACTTCCTGACTTGGGTCCCCTTTCCAAGTGCAGCAAAAGTCCCTGGCCTCCACACATGCAAGCCATCAAGTGCTCATGAGGCTTCCTGCCTTGCCAGCTTCTTGCACTCACGACATGGAGGCCCATGCATCCGAAGCTCCGAGAAGCCCTGCAGCACAAGAAGACACTGTAAGTCAGTGAGGTGGCACGTGCCTGGAATCCTGGCACATAGACGTTGAGTGGGAAGCTAGATCCAGGCCACCCTGAGCTTCATGGGGAGACCCTGCCTGTCTCACCAAACGGAAAAGAACAAACAGTAACAAAACTATCTTACCAGAACTTTCTGACCAGCATGAGCAGAGGCTGCTTACCTGTGTGTCAACAGCAGCAATTTCAGTAACATGGCGCACTGATTAGGGTTGAGGGGAGGGAAATAAAACTGTTTCTAGGTTTCAAAGCCCTAGACTGAAAGCACAGCCAACAGATGCTACTCCGATGCCTGGTGCATTGTAGAACATCATCTGTCACAGCATGGGACAGAAAAGACAGTGAGGCTGAGTGACCCTTACCCCTAGATGACTGCTCTCTAGCAGCATGTTGGTGTTCTTGCTGAGACTGCCCCCCTCTCCCCCCCCGCCCGCCATCTCTCCTAGGTCCTGACATCTCCCTCAACCCCATGGATATTGTGACACTGGAAGACAGCTAGAGCTGCTCTCAGCAGGTCCATGTGGGACTCTGAGGTACCAGCATCCAACTAGTGCTAACAAAAGTGCTGTCTGAGCCTGTATAGGGTAACAGAAACTACTGGGCATGATGCCTGCCCCACACACCTTGGCTGTCATGAGGAGTCCCCCATGGCAAATTCTGCAGTCTTGAAGCCAGACCCTGCTGGGGATCCAGGGACCAAAAGACCAAAGTGGTCAGAGGAGGTTTCTGGAGGAGTAAGTAGCCATGAGTGAGTGTTCTTGTGGCAGGAACAGTGTTGAGAGGGATCCAAGCAGGAAGCATAGGGTGTTTCCTGGTAGGAGACAGAGGTGCCATCCTGAGAATGCTAGCTATGGAGGAGAGAAGGGACAAGAGAGGAGTATCAGGGAGGATACAAGGACTTCCACTTAAAATCAAGGACACACTCTCCAGAGTGAACAAATGCTTAGTGAGACACTGCACAGGAGGCAGTCTACTTGTCACTTCACCCAGACAGAAGTGTAGATCCCACTGTAGACTTGGGAGGGACAACAAAAGCAGCCTGAGGGGAGTGTGGTCCAGCCATGGAGAAACCCAAAGTACTGCCAGGAGGTCACCATGAATGGGATGACAACTGCTGGGACCAGGATGGATCTAAGAGGGATCTTAGAATATGTCATACCTGGGGGTTTCAGTTTGTGCCTGAAGGTCAGTACAAGCACACAGATGCCAACATGGGTGTCCAGCAGTAAAGCACTTAGAGCCAGAAAGGTACAGAGTCTGTCCAGGACACTTTTGCACTGTCTCCTCAGCCAGGATCCAGACACCTGCTGAAGCTGTGCAATCATGGTAGAAGAGCCAAAAGTGAGGCTGCAGTTTCGCTTGCTCCTCTGGTACCCCACTTCCGGAAGTGTACCTCAGGCAACCCTGTCCATGCATCCATGGGTACCTTCTCCTCAGGACTACCATGGAGCTCTTTCTGTCCTAACAATGGTCAGTCTGCAGCTTCTGTTCCTGATGTCTGTCTCCTCTCAGACTGCGGTGCTGAGGAGGCCAGGGACACATTTCCTAGCATACAACCAAGGCAGGGCATTATGACGGCAAGTGAGTGAGCCCAGGGATGGAGAGGTGGTGAGTTAGGCTCTGGGAACCCACATGTATCCCATCTAGGTCCCTCTGTGGTCTTTGCCAAATAGGCTGTGCCTCACGGTCCCCGCACAAAACCCGCAATCACTTTTGTTTACTCCCTTGAAGCTCCTTCAAGCAGCAAGTAAAAAACCCAGCCACATGCCCAGACTCCTGACCCACCAATCCCCAGAAGGCCCCATTTTCTACAAAGGCCACTGAAATGTAAGGAAAGGGCTCCGTAACAGGTGTCCTCAGCAGATAAAAACCATGGGGGAGGTGGCGGGTCACAAACGTTTCTTGGTCTCCTGCCTCGTGCTCTACAGACCCTGGGAGACAAGAGGATCCAGAGTCACCACCCAAAACCCAAACAAGCTATAGGACCAGGAAGACAGGAAGTCAAGCCACCTCAGTATCTCCTTAGGACACTACCCTCCAGTCCTTGCTTCTCCTGGACTGCCACAGGAGAACTTAACCTTCACCGAGTGTGTGTCCGGATCACTTCCACTGTCCAGAGCCTCGGAATACACTCTTATCCTCCTTCCCCAGCACAAGAAGCAGACCTCCTCCCCTTCCACCAATGCGGTCTGCTAGTCTGTTGTTGGGAGCCGACTCTTAGCCGAAAGTGGCTATCATCTTTACAGCCATCTCGAGCCATATACCCTGACAAGAGACTTGTTTCAACAGCCTGCAATAGCTGAGCGCACTCTGATAAACATCTTGTTACACTGTTTAGTGCCCCCAGCTGCAAGGTGCTCCTGGTATCCATGGCTACAAGGCACGTGACATAGTGGCTTCAGTTGAGATTGTCCACGAGGGCAAGTCACGTGGTAAAGGGTATAAATACCCAGGATTTCCCTTCTATAGAAGTAGTAGGAAGTAGGAAGTAAAGAAGGGAAGAGGTAGGAGGAGGTAGAAAGTAGGAGGTAGAGGTAAGAGGTAGAAGGTAGGAGGTAGAAGTGAGAAAGTGAGAGGTGTCAGGAGACTGAAGGAGTGAGAATATAGAAGAAGAGAGGAGAATAAAGAAGAGACTTGAAGAGACTCCACCGGACTCTGTCTTGTATCTATCTTTTGCGTCTCTCACCCCTTTTTTCCCCTTCCTCCGTCCCCACTCTCTCTCTTGCTAGACCCTGGCCTGCGGACCAGAGCAGCAGAACCGCCGGCCTTTACAAAGTAACAGAACCTGAAGGCCGTTACAAAAGAAACGGCAGTTACAAAGTGGCGCCCAGATATGCGGCAGCAAGAACCAGAGACCCAGTGAGGGAAGTTACTGGAAGGAGGATTGACTGAAAATTCAGAGGTGAAACAGAGGTGATTGCCACAGGAAACTGCCGTGTGGAGACCAGTAAGTCATAGTAATAATGGGGCAAGAAATAAGTCAGCCTGAACTCAACTCTCTGTTTTTGTTCTGTTGCTTGCTGTTTACGTGTATCAATTGTCTGCTTTTGTTTCCCTGTTTAAATGTTGCTTTTCATGTCCAAAAGAAAAAGAAACACATAGAATCCAAAATAGGACCAAAGGTTGAAGTAATTTGTCAGAGCCAGATTGTGCTGACCTAGAGGAAGAGGCAGCCAAATATTTTGATCCTGAATGGTCTTCTTCCCGAAGGCCCCCTCCCTGTGCTCCTCCACCTCCAGACACTCCTGCTATGGAGATGGTGGTTGAAGATCACAGAAAGGAGATGCAGGACAAAATTTCTTTTCTTAAACAACAAATTTCTCTCCTTAAAGAACAAATAGAGTTAGAGGAAGAGTATCAGGACTTAATTAATCAGATACAAAAATTAAAGACAGGGAAGAGGTCTCAAGAGGACAAAGAAAATTCCTCAGGTCCTCGAGTTCCTCAACCTGGAGTCCAAAGGCAACCCCTGTCCTCTGGTTTCAGTTCAGCCACAGATCAACCAGAGGAGGGAGAGGTTAAGGTTTTCCCTGTATCAGAGACTAGAGACGCTCAAGGAGTTGCCTGGAGACATCACACAGGGTTTAACTTTCAAATTATTAAAGAATTAAAAAATTCAGTGTCACAATATGGTGCCACTGCTCCCTTTACTCTTGCAATCTTAGAATCTGTTGCAGAGGAGTGGCTGACTCCTGGTGATTGGGATACTCTAGTGAGAGCAGTTCTTAGTGGTGGTGACTATCTTATTTGGAAATCAGAGTATCATGAGAATTGTAAAGAGACAGCTAGGAGAAACATTCAGGCAGGTAATGGTTGGTCCTTTGATGCCTTAGTAGGAGAAGGGCAATTTGCTTCTAGTGATAACCAGATGCAATATGACCCAGACTTATTTGCTCAAATTCAAAATGCGGCCATAAAGGCTTGGCGCAAACTCCCGGTAAAGGGAGACCCTGGTACATCTTTGACCTCAGTCAGACAAGGGCCTGATGAACGATTTTCTGATTTTGTTCATCGGTTAATGACAACAGCAGGGAGGATTTTTGGTAATGTAGAGGCAGGTGCAGATTATGTGAAACAACTTGCATATGAAAATGCCAATTCTGCCTGCCAAGCAGCCATTAGACCCTATAGGAAAAAGACAGATCTTACTGGGTATATCAGACTCTGTTCTGATATAGGGCCCTCCTACCAACAGGGCTTAGCTATGGCAGCTGCCATGCAAGGACAATCAGTAAGAGACTTTTTGGCAAGTAGAGACAAAAAGGCCTGTTTTAAATGTGACAAGCCTGGACACTTTTCAAAATATTGCAAAGCAGAAAATGAGTTAACCCAGAGACAGCCCAGAAAACAGCCTGGGCTATGCCCACGTTGCAAACGTGGAAGGCATTGGGCTAGTGAATGTAGGTCCAAGACAGATGCACAAGGAAACACCCTTTCCTATAATCAGGGAAACGGGAACAGGGGCCAGCCCCAGGCCCCGAACCAATACAAGCCAAAACAGGCTTACGGGGCAGTCAGTTTCATACCGACAAACAACAACCCCTTTCAGAACTTAGTCGAACAACACCAGGAAGTGCAGGGCTGGACCTCAGTTCTGCCACCCACACAGTATTAACCCCAGAAATGGGACCTCAGGCCTTACCCACTGGAGTGTTTGGACCACTCTATCCAAATGTGTTTGGCCTGATAGTGGGGAGAAGCAGTGCTACTATACAAGGACTACAAATTTTTCCTGGAGTTATAGACAATGATTATCAAGGTGAGATTAAGGTAATGGCCAAGGCAATACAGAATATAGTCACTATTCCTACAGGAAGGAGGATAGCTCAACTATTGTCACTTCCATTGATTCCTACTAATCACAAGTATAAGAGTCCTAAGAGAGGGGATCAGGGCTTTGGTTCCTCTGATGCATACTGGGTACAGCCTATTATTAAACAAAAACCTATGATGACAATATTGCTCGACAGGAAGGCATTCCGAGGCTTGGTTGATACAAGAGCTGATGTGACAATCATCAAACAAAGTGATTGGCCCGCCACCTGGCCTCTGATCCCAACTTTAACCAATTTAAGGGGTATTGGCCAAAGCCAAAATCCACAGCAAAGTTCTAAGGTGCTGACATGGAAAGATAAAGAAGGAAATACAGGCAATATACAACCCTATGTCATCCCGGGCCTTCCCATTAATCTCTGGGGCAGAGATCTATTATCCCAGTTGGGATTGATTATGTGCAGCCCTAATGAAGTAATCACAGCTCAAATGATAAACTCTGGATTTTCCACAGGGAAAGGATTAGGGAAAAGTAAAGATGAGATTATTCATCCTATTGAGATCCATGATAATTCTGGAAAAAGAGGCTTGGGGTATTTTTGATGGGGACTATTGATTCAGCTGCACCCCTAGGGCGTTGTGCCGATCCCATTACCTGGAAGGGGGACTCGCCTGTCTGGGTGGATCAGTGGTCCCTAACCACCGAAAAGTTACAAGCTGCTCAATTGCTAGTGCAGGAGCAATTACAGGCAGGACATTTAGAAGAGAGTAACTCTCCCTGGAATACCCCAATATTTGTTATTAAGAAAAGGTCAGGAAAGTGGAGATTGTTGCAAGACTTGAGGGCGGTAATGCAACCATGATTCTGATGGGAGCCTTACAACCTGGGCTGCCCACACCAGTGGCCATACCTTTAGGCTATTATAAAATAGTTATAGATTTAAAAGACTGTTTCTTTACTATCCCTTTGCATCCTAATGATAGAAAGCGCTTTGCTTTTAGTGTTCCCGCTATAAACTTTAAAGAACCTATGAAAAGATATCAATGGAAGGTCTTGCCTCAGGGTATGGCTAACAGTCCTACCTTGTGCCAAAAGTTTGTGGCTTCCGCCATAGAGGGTGTTAGAACCATGTGGAAGCAAATCTACATAATTCATTTCATGGATGATATTTTAATAGCAGTAAAAGATGAAAAACAGGTACTCCAGTGCTTTGATGATCTTAAAACAGCTTTACAGACTGCAGGGTTACAAATAGCACCAGAAAAGGTACAATTACAAGATCCATATACTTATTTAGGATTTCAGATTAATGGTCCACGTATTATTAACAGTAAGGCCACCTTGAGGACTGATTCCCTTAAGACACTTAATGATTTTCAAAAACTGTTGGGAGACATTAATTGGCTACGACCATATTTGAAACTTACGACAGGAGAGTTGAAACCTTTGTTTGACATTCTCAAAGGAGATTCTGACCCTAAGTCTGGCAGGGTTCTAACACAGGAGGGTAAAAAAGCCTTACAGAAGGTTGAGAGTGCTATTTCATCTCAATTTGTAACTCATATTAATTATTCTAAGCCTTTATATTTTCTTATTTTTAACACTAAATTAACTCCTACTGCAGTTTTTTGGCAGACTGCACCTATATTATGGGTTCATCTTCCCTCATCCCCTAAAAAAGTTCTTTATCCATACTATGCAGCTGTAGCAGATATGATTATATTAGACAGAGATAACAGTCGAAAATATTTTGGAAAAGACCCTGATGTCATAGTACAACCATATACAAGACATCAGGTTAATTGGCTTATACAGAGTTCTGAAGTTTGGCCTATAGCATGTGCTTCATTTACTGGTCAACTAGATAACCATTATCCGCCAGACAAATTAGTTCAATTTTGTAATCGCCATGCATTTGATTTTCCATCTCGTACTGCACATGCACCTATAAAAGAAGCATTGCTAGTTTTCACTGATGGTTCCTCATCAGGAACAGCTGCTTATGCCTTTAAAGATCAAGTAATTTCCTTTGCTACATCATCTGTGTCAGCTCAATTGGTTGAATTACATGCTGTTATTGCTGTGTTTCAAGCATTTCCAAATCAAACCATTAATATTTACACAGATAGCTCATATATAGCTCAATCTATTCCTCTGCTAGAAACTGCTGCACAAATAAAGCATTCCTCAGAAGCAGCCGATTTGTTTTTACAGTGCCAACAATTAATTTTAAGAAGAAAGTGTAAATTCTTTATAAGACACCTGAGAGCCCACACTGGGCTACCAGGTCCTCTCACTGAAGGAAACACCAAGACAGATCTAGCCACTCATGTAGCCACAGTGACTTTATCAGATCCGCCATCTAACTTGGATCAGGCCATAAAGGCTCATGAATTACATCACCTAAATTCTAAAACTTTAAAAGTCATGTTTAAAATTACCAGGGAACAAGCTAGACAAATTGTCAAACAATGTCAATCGTGTGTTACATGTCTACCAGTTCCTCATTTGGGTGTGAATCCAAAGGGACTAATACCAAACAGTCTCTGACAAATAGATATTACCCATTATAATGAATTTGGTAATCAAAAATATATACATGTATGTATAGATACATACAGTGGTTTCATTTACGCGACATTACAAACTGGAGAAGCAAGCAAACATGTGATCAACCATATGCTTGCTACAATTGCTGTATTGGGTGTGCCAAAACAGATCAAGACTGACAATGGCCCAGGTTATACAAGCTCCAGTTTTCACAAATTTTGTGAAAAATTGGGAATACTACATAAAACAGGTATTCCATATAATCCACAGGGCCAAGGTATGGTAGAAAGGGCACATCAAACTATTAAATGTCAATTTGAAAAAATTAAAAATGGGGAATGGTATCCTACCAAGGGATCCCCTAGGAATATCCTTCATCACACGCTCTTTATTTTAAATTTTTTAACTTTGGATTCTGAAGGAAAATCTGCTGCAGATAGATTCTGGCATCCTAATACTAAAAAGAATTTTGCAACAGTCCTCTGGAAAGACCCATTAACTGGAACCTGGAATGGGCCAGATCCAGTGCTTATCTGGGGAAGAGGATCTGTCTGCATATATTCCCAAACGGCAGATGCTGCACGATGGCTGCCAGAGAGACTGATCAAACAAATAGACAATAATAACAAATCCAGGGAGGAGAAACCCCCTGAGAAGCGTATTTTTCCTTTACAGGAAACATGAAGATGCTTCACTGGAGCGAATCAACCAGTATACCTGACTTGGGAAGTTCTCAGTGCGGAAGAAGACATCACCACCCGCACCTCCAGGGTGGCTCTTCTCAATGTGGAAGAAGACATCACCACCCACGTCTCCAGGGTGGCTCTATTAGACTCTTGGTTCCCTGATTTATGATTTAGTGGTACATTGTTTAAACCCAAGAGAGAATCCATTACCATAGTTACTATAGTTGTGTTTTAGGTTTGAGATTGATTGGGACAGGAATAGAGATTTTCTTACTTGTTTTGTTAAGATCAAAGCTATGATCAGTTCTGTACTTATATAGATTAGATTTAGAAAATAGTGTTATAGAATAGAAGAGGCTTATATTTTTTACTCCTCCAACAGAAGAAGTTATGTACTACCCTTAAAAAGAGTGTTGCATTTGCGCTAACCATTCAGGCATTGCTAAGTCTCTTGTCTCTCGGGTTCATGCTGCTCAACAAACTGATGGCTTTTGTACTACAACAGATAGACGTTACACAAATGAAACCCATACAGGTCCATTATTACAGGCTGGAAGTAGGGGACTAAAACCTCTGTCATCAAGACTGACGAGGATTAACCCTTAACTTACGCGCTAAGCCGGATAGTCAATGACGGGTAAGAGAACACCTCAAGACCCTTGCCCCTAACTGGGAGGCCTCACCATCCTAAGACAGGAGCTCAACCAATGGCTGTTGAGTATCCAGAGACGGGAAAGGGAGGCTGGGGTCTTTTGTTCCAACCTAAGGCAGGCACGGTTTCCGTAAGTTTTCCCAGCCTTCCCTTTTGAAAACAAATTTAAAAAGGGGGACCTGTTGGGAGCCGACTCTTAGCCGAAAGTGGCTATCATCTTTACAGCCATCTCGAGCCATATACCCTGACAAGAGACTTGTTTCAACATTGTTTAAACCCAAGAGAGAATCCATTACCATAGTTACTATAGTTGTGTTTTAGGTTTGAGATTGATTGGGACAGGAATAGAGATTTTCTTACTTGTTTTGTTAAGATCAAAGCTATGATCAGTTCTGTACTTATATAGATTAGATTTAGAAAATAGTGTTATAGAAGAGGCTTATACTTTTTACTTTTTGCAATAGCTGAGCGCACTCTGATAAACATCTTGTTACACTGTTTAGTGCCCCCAGCTGCAAGGTGCTCCTGGTATCCATGGCTACAAGGCACGTGACGTAGTGGCTTCAGTTGAGATTGTCCACGAGGGCAAGTCACGTGGTAAAGGGTATAAATACCCAGGATTTCCCTTCTATAGAAATGGTAGGAAGTAAGAAGTAAAGAAGGGAAGAGGTAGTAGGAAGTAAAAAATAAAGAAGAGAAGAGGTAGGAGGAGGTAGAAAGTAGGAGGTAGAGATAAGAGGTAGAAGGTAGGAGGTAGAAGTGAAAAAGTGAGAGGTGTCAGGAGACTGAAGGAGTGAGAATATAGAAGAAGAGAGGAGAATAAAGAAGAGACTTGAAGAGACTCCACCGGACTCTGTCTTGTATCTATCTTTTGCGTCTCTCGCCCCTTTTTTCCCCTTCCTCTGTCCCCACTCTCTCTCTTGCTAGACCCTGGCCTGCGGACCGGAGCAGCAGAACCGGCCGGCCTTTACAAAGTAGCAGAACCTGACGGCCGTTACAAAAGAAACGCCAGTTACAGTCTGTCTGCTCCAGAGAGCAGAACGCAGGCAGCAGGTGTTGAAGGTATCTCTGCCACCTTTCCAAGGTTTTTGAAACTTTCCGGTCCTCCATTCTCTCCTTCGCAATTTACCTTCCAATTTCATTGTCCCCTGGCTTCCCACGCTGTGTTCCTTCAGCCTGGGGGCATCATTGCTGACCTCTAGTTCTCCCAACCTCACCTTCCTATATCTGTCACTCCTGCCCAATGAATGCATGCGACAGGGGCTAAACCAATTGGAGAATTGGTCTTTCCAGCCTGAGATTCCAAAGACCAATTCTCCCGCTCCCGAGGCCGGGAACAGTCCTGCAGAAGAGAAAGAGGGAGGGGTTCAAGGAAAGAGATCCGCACCAAGTACTGAGGGAGCGCGCTGGCGAGCTGTTCAGAGAACGACGGGGTGGAACCTCTGGGAAGGGGGCGCGTGCGCGGAGGGGCGCGGATCTGCGGGGACCAGCGCGGCAAGTGCAACCTGGGGACCGCGGCGGAAACTGCAGTGAGAAACGCGCGAGGAGGCCGGGCGCCCGTGATTGGATTCAGTGAGGTGACAGCGCGCGTCTCTTTCCATACTCGACCCACTCACCGAGGCCTGCCGCTCTCGGACGCCACGCAGGCAGCCCTAGTCCTGGGTCTGGCTACCCACAGCCAGTCGCGCCGTGCGTCTTTGGCGCCTCGTTTTGTTTAGCTGTCAAGGTACCGCTTCTTAAGTCTCCGCCCCGGAAGTGATGTCACCGAGCGCAAAAGGAGGGGGGGCCCTAAGCTGTCCGGGTGTCTTTAAAGGGAACACAGAGCTTTGCTCCGCTTCTGACAGTGCTCTTGAGCCAAGTAGCATCTGGGCGGAAGTAGCCTATCTAGGGCTCGGCCTCTTTAAAGGAACAGAGAGTTCTGCAACCTTGGAAATACTTTTGGGGTCGCTGGCTATTGAACGGGGCAATTGTTCGCTGAAGCAGGTCAGTTCCTGGTTGTCTTGCGAGGTTTCACTTAGATCGTGTGTTGAACCTGGCTGGTTTCCGAGAGTGCTGTAGCTCTTTGATGCATGTGCTTCTGTTTGTATGTGATGTGTAGCTTCTCTGAAAGAAGAGTCTGTCCCCTGAGAAAAACGCGCCCGCGGTCATGGCAGCTCTGCTGCTTCAGCCACCGGACTAGTTAGGCTAGCTCTCTCTGCACCCACGTCCACTCTCCGAAGGTAGTCCTGGCCAAAAAGATGCAGACTGCGCTAACGGAGAATTGCCGACAGAACTATCCCCAATAGTCTCTGTGGGTCCTTCTGGGTTCTGTCGGTTCCCGGGCTGCACGGCATTTGGATTCAAGTACTAGTGTGGAATAACTTCCAAGATAACTTAGGTTAAAAAAAATTAAGGACAGAAAGAATAGCCTTCAGTCCTACTGCTGTTGCTGTTCGCATGCATGCCAACTTTTTGTTAATGTGTACACATTGTTAACTGGTTGACTGGCACAAGGAAACAGAGGTTCTGGGTACCTGACAAGGCAAGGAAATGAACTACTGTGTGCATTCTTCTACTACTGTGTTGATTCTTCGAAAGAAAAGGATGAAATCATCTGCTGAGCCAATGCCTAAGTTTGAGTCTCCTCCTAGAGGTCTTCTTGCTTCCCTTTAGTAAAGGAGGTGCCAGGCTAGGGGAAGTTAGGTGATTTAGTTACTGTATCACAACCAGCATAGGGAGAAGCTGGAAAGTTGAGTATAGAGGGTTTTAGCCTGCTTTGGTCAGATATTCAAAACCCATGTTCTACCAAGCGTAGTACAGACATGCCACATGACCTGTAGGGAAAATGGGACTGACAGGAGGACTAGCTGAAGGAAAGGGTGAATGAAAGAGAATAGTGACAGCCTGGGATGCAGTCCAAGGCTCACTGTCCTTCTCCATAAACCTGGATGGAGCATCATCCATGACCAAATGTGACCACAATGGTGGCCCCACGGGTTCACCTTTTTATGCACATCGGTCCTGTTTACCGATGGATGAGGCATGGAATTTGGGAAAGGATTCTCACAGATCCTCACTCTCCTCCCATCCGCAGGAGGCTCTGAAGACACCCGGTCTCTCCCGCTGCTCCCTGAGAGCCTTAGCACTGACTTTTGGATCTCCTGTGTAGTGAACTAGGAGGGGCTAAGGCTCTCACAGCGAACAGGACATTTACTGTTTCCACCCTGTGTTTCTGTGAGAGCAATGGACAATTTGGCAGTCAGTTCCTGTATCCAAAACCTTTGCATAGAACAAGGAACCAGGCTGGGTGGAGTCAGGGGGGAAATTCTCCAAGATTGTGACAGAGAAGAGTGTAGAATGCTAGCCCAGCCTTCCCTGAGGGTCCTAAGTGGCTGGCGAAGTGCAAATTGTTAGAGCTGACCAGTTGCAGACCTCTAGTCTAGTTTCTATGATACCGTTCTTTATAGCTAAGCCTCAACTCCTCAGTCTCCACTTTACTTCAGTAACCTCAAGACCTGACTCCCGATTGCTAATCCAGATGAGCAACAGAAGACCAATGACACGTTCTTTACCTTGCCCACCAGCACAGACCTGGCTCTGTCCCCAAAGCAGCAGTCCCCTTGATGCAAATAAAGGTGTCACACATCAGGACAAGAGGCTTTGTCTTCCTGTTTTGTTTTGCTTTTTTACTGGCTGAGTTCTCAAATTGCCAAGGAAAGGGACACCTAGCTATTAAGAAAGGGCTTGACCCTGTCTCTGTGGCCAAGAGGCTAAATCACTTCAGCTTAGCAGGAAAGGGCTGGTTCCAGCAGATAGTGGGCCCCACACTCCCGGAGCTTGCAGGCAGCTCCTGTACATTGCTGGGACTCTGCTTTCGGGTAAATCCTTTCCCTGCTCCAACCCTCATCTCCCCTACCTAGAAAATTAGTGGACTGTTCTCCAAGGTTCCTGCTGGCCCCCTCCCTCTCTGTTATATATCTCCAAGGAATAAGAGTTCAGGTTTGGTTCAGCATCTTACGAAGGGAACAAGGAACAAATTGCCTGATATTTGTCACATCTGAGCTTGCCACCAATACCTGTGGGCTGGGAACCTTCAGTCAGAGCTACAGAAGCCACTTCTTAGTCCTCAGCCCATTCCAAGGTCAGGGGTCCTGGGCCTCTGTCTTGTGTGGCTTAGCTGTTAGACTAGCATTTCTCTTGGGGGATATTTATATTATGGAAGCTCTTACAAAGGTTACTGCTCGCTCTCTTACTCTCTTACTCTCTAGCCTCTAGCTTCTCTCTGTCCCCTCGCCCTTCCTTCCCTTCCCTTCCCCCTCACTCCACGTGGTCATGGCCGGCCTCCACTTCTCCTCTCTCTCTCCTCTTTCTCCACCATCTTCTCTCGTTTCTCTCCCTACCTTTGCCCTCTGCCCTGAATAAACCCCCTTCCCTTTGGAAAAAAAAAAAAAAAGGTTACTGCTTAAAAAGATGGGAGGGGGGCTGGATTCATTATTGAACAAGAAACTTTTATGGGGATGTTTTGTGTCATTAAATAGATTTTTTTAAAGAGATTTTTTACCTTTAATAGTGTGTGTGTGTGTGTGTGTGTGTGTGTGTGTGTGTGTGTACGTGTAAACGTGTACATAACTACAGGTGCCTGTGGAGGCCAGAGGCATCAAGTCTCCATGAAAGCTGGAGTTACATCCAGTTTTTCTTTTCTTTTGTTTTTTTTTTTTTTTTTAGATTTATTTATTTGTTTTATGCATATGAGGACACCACCATTGCTCTCTTCAGACACACCAGAAGAGGGCACCAGACCCCAGTTACAGATGGTTGTGAGCCACCATGTGGTTGCTGGGAATTGAACTCAGGAGAAGAGCAGTCGGTGCTCTTAACTGCTGAACCATCTCTCCAGCCCCAAGTTACAGGCAGTTGTGAGCTACCTGGTTTGGGTGCTGGCAATCAAATTTAGGTCTTCTTTAAAAGCAGAATGGCTCTTAACCACTAACTATCTTCGATAGTTCTGCAAAATAGGTTTTTGTGGAAAGCTTGTAGGTTTCAGTGGTAACTGGTCCCTGGTTAACTGCAGGTTACTGCCTGCATACAAGGACCATGGCATGACCCGGGTTAGACTATCGGTTTGCTTGGTATATGTGTGGTGCTGAGAATCATGTTCACACTCTTGTACCTGTTGTACTGATTCTCTATCACTCTATAGATGGGTAAACTGAGTCACGGCTGTGCCTTAAGAACCCATGCTCCATACCCAGGGCAGTAGTGGAGTTGGGACCGTTTCATCTAAGACCAAGCTTCAGTTTTTTTCTCCTTGTCATGGAATGGGGACAGGTCTCAACCAAGCTTCTCCTGCCCCAATTCAGTGGGCACCATGGTTAGTGTTGTGTCAGTGAGCAGCCATCTCCTGGCAGTCTGAGCTGAGCAGGGAAAATGTAAACATTTTTCAAGGGACCAGAGCCCTTGCCTGGAACAAATGACTTTGCCTTGGATACCATGTCTCCATGGAGATCAGACTGACCTCAGACTCACAGAGATCTCCCTGCCTCTGCCCACTGAGATTAAAGTCATGGACCACAGTACCTGGTGGCTTAAAAAAAAAAAAAAAAAAGAAAGGTGTACAGTTATTTTGCCTAATGCATGTCTGTTCATGTGTGTGGAGTACCTGTGTAAGCCAGAAGAGGGTGTTGGATCCCTAGGGCTGGGTTACAGGTGGTTGTAAGCCACCATGTTGCTGCTGGGAGTGAAACCTGAATCCTGTGACAGAATAACCACTGAGCTGTCTTGAGCCCCACCACTTTCTTTATTATTTATTTAATCTTGGCTTTTCCAGACAAGGTTTCTCTGTGTAGCCCTGGCTGTCCTGCAACTTGCTTGCAGATCAGGCTGGCCTCAAAACCAGAGATCCATTTGCCTCTGCCTCTGAAGGGCTGAGATTAAAGGTGTGCAGCACCACCACCTAGCAATAGGTAGAGTTGTTTTGTTTTGTTATTTTGGCATGTAAAGAGACTATTCTCTGTTAATCCTTTAAAAAAAAAGAAAGGAAAGAAAGAAAGAAAAAAGAAAGAAAGGAAAAGAAAAGAAAAAGGGAACATGGAAGCTACAGACTCAGGACTTAGCCATCTCCTGGGGCCAGCCTGCGGTGGCTCTATACTTTGTCTAGAGTAAACACAGCCTACTGGACAAGAATGTACAGTGGGGTCAGTAGCCATGGCACAGCTAGCATCAGCACCAGGTTGTTGAAGCATGCCAGGTGGCCAAGGCCATCCATAAGCTTTCATAACGTGAGGCTGGCGGCCATTAGCTATCTAGGTTCAGGGAGGTACCCCTCCGGGATCCCTGCCCTGGTGGAGATGTCACCTTAGTGTACCCAAGCATCTGTGCTGCCCCGTGACAGAGATTCTCTGGTGGGTTATTTGTTTGAGACAGGGTACTTCTGTGTAGCTCTGACTAGCCTAGAACTTGCTATGTAGACCAGGTTATAGAGCTCACAGAGATCTGTATGCTTTGCCTCCCAAGTGCTGGGATTAAAGGTGTATACCACCATGCTTGACTCTATTTTATCTGTCTGTCTGTCTGTCTGTCTGTCTGTCTGTCTGTCTACTTACTTATTTTTAGCTCATCTATGAGTGTTTTGCCTGCATATATGCTTGTCTTAGGGTTTCTGTTGCTACAATTAAGCACCATGACCAAAAATCAAGTTGGGCAGGAAAGGGTTTATTTGGCTTACACTTCCATATCCCTGTTCAT